CGGGCCCGCCAAACAACAATGATGGCTGCAACCAAAAAATGGCCAGGCATTGTGGCGGGCGCCTGTAGTCCCAGCTACTTGGGAGGCTGAGGCAGGGTTTGAACCTGGCCTAGGGCTGCTAAACCCCAATGACAACTATAACAAAAAAAAATGGCCAGGTGTTGTGGTAGCTACTAATAGTCCCAGCTATTTGGTTGTCTGAGGCAAAAGAATTGCTTAAGCCCAAGAGTTTGAGGTTGCTGTGAGCTGTGATGCCCCGTCACTCAACCAAGGGCAACATAATGAGACTCTGTCTCAACAAAAATAAAAATAAAGAGGGTTGGTGCCTGTGGCTCAAAGGAGTAGGGCACTGGCCCCATATGCTGGAAGTGGTGGGTTCAAACCTAGCCCTGGCCAAAAAAAAAAAAAAAAAAAAAACTGCAAAAAGAAGAAAAAATTAAAAATTAAAAATTATTTTTAAAATCAGATTTTTTTCCTGGCCAAAAAAAAAAAAAAAAAAAAACTGCAAAAAGAAGAAAAAATTAAAAAATAAAAATTATTTTTAAAATCAGATTTTTTTCTTGCATAAAAAAAGCCATAAAAGGAAGAGACTACAAGAATGTTTCAATGTTGTAAGTGCTTGGGCACACCCACTTGCCCACCCCAAAAGACTTAATGAAGTTGTCAAGTGTTTGCAGCAGGGCAGAGTCACTATGACTTTGACAGCTGCAGGTGGTATTTGTAGCTCACGTTCTGTGAGTGGTGTGGCCAGTGGTGCTGTTACTTTCTGACGTGGTGACTACTCCCAGTAAAATTCTGAACAAGCAAATAGGCTTCCCTTGATTTTCATGGTGGTTGTATGCTGGGAAATGTCAGTGTGTTTTGAAAACATGCAGAAAATACTCCAAGGGTATAGGAAAGTTGCTCATCATTGGGGCTGTTGTCTTCATGGAAGAATGTCCAGCATCCTTGACTCTGGCCCACTAAACATAGCACCTTTACATTGTGCCACCTGGAGATACCCATAGTGCCATCTAAGGCAGTACCACCCCCAAGGCTCCTTGCTAGATTGGAGATTAGGAAGGAAGCTGGTTGGGCAGTGCCTGTAGCTCAAAGGAGTAGGGTGCCAGCCCCATATGCCAGAGGTGGCAGTTTCAAACCCAGCCCTGGCCAAAAACTGGAGGGAAAAAAAAAAGGAAGGAAGCTGGTGAAGCTGGGAGGGCCATGCTGAACATTTGCTTTTGATCCTAGCATAGAGTGAACTGTTGGGAGTTTTTAAGCAGAATGATGAAATCGTCTGAATTGCGCTTGAGAATGATGGCTCTGGCTACATGGAAGGGGTGGAGGGAGGATTCTATGGTAGGATCGAATGAGTACTGCTGTGGCCTGAGCAAGGAGGGTGTTTTGGCGGGTGGAGACAGAGGTGGGACCTGAGAGCTCCCTGGGAGGGAGGAACACCAGGATGTGGGAGAGCAGTGGGGCAAGAGGAGGTGCTAAGATAGGGACACAGGAGAGGATGGGGCTGAGGGAAGGAGAGCTGAAAATTAAGGTGCAAGAACATGCAGGCTTGGCACAAAGGGGAGCTCAGTGTGGGCTACGTCTTCAGCATCACGGAAGCTACCAGAGCACCTCCCTGGTCCCCTCACAAAACTTGGGTAGGAAGCCATGTCTGCTTCTCTTTTCTGTGGTGATGAGGGAGCTGTGAGCCAGCACCTGCCCTGCCTGACTTGGCCTTACCTGTGGTATGCTAGCTGCAACTATAATGATAGTGTCTAGAACCCTCCTCCACTGGCAGGGTCTGGACCCCAAGAGGCCCACAGCAGACAGCAGCTCTGCTACTAGCAGCTGCACATGCACATGCAGAGACACACAAGCATTCCACAACCACTGTCCCGCTGGGTCCTTGGCAGTGGCCTTATGCTGCTCCTATTTCCATTTTGCAGTTGAGGAATCTGAGTGCTTTTGCCTAGGTCACATAGCTGGTAAGTGACAGAGGCTGAATTTGACACCAAAGCTTCTGTTCCCAACCCTTGTGTGATTATGGCCCCAAAGTGTTTTGAAAACCACCTGTGCACCTGCCTTCATGTGATGGCATGTTAGAATCAGCAAGACCAAAGAGGACACAGGCTACATGGTATAGTGCACAGCACACTCAGCTGATGAATCACTACACCAAGGCATGAAGCTGACCTGTACTTGTTAAAAGCCCAATGTCACGAACATCAGGCAGGACTGAGTGACACAGGAACAGTAGAATCTCACAGCCCCGTGAGTGCCAGCCCTTGCCAGGTATTACAGAGCTACCAGGAATATAAGTCCTGGAACCAACCAACCAACCATTGGCAAGCTGACCCTCTGCTTGTGTGTGTGTTCTAACAGATCTCGTCACTGTTTTGTCTTAGTGAAGGGCCTGATGAGTGTCCTGAGAGTGAATGCTGGAATGGAGGCGAGGAGCTTGCCATGTCTGGAGTAACCAGGACAGGCTACCTGGAGGAGGAATCCTTGCTATGTGGGATGGACTTTCCCCACTGCCTTGGTTACCAGAGGTTTCTAGGCTGTGGGTTTGCTCTCCTTTTAGAAGCAATAGGTATTTCTCCAGAAATTGAGCTTAAAGATAGAAACGAAAAAAGAGGGAAAAAAAAGGCTCAGCACCTGCAGCTCAGTGATTAGGGTGCCAGCCACATAGACTGAAGTTGGCAGGTTCGCTCCCAGGCCAGGCCTGCTAAACAACAATGATAACTACAACCAAAAAATAGCTGGTCATTGTGGCGGGCGCCTGTAGTCCCATCTACTTAGGAGGCTGAGGCAAGAGAATCGCTTAAGCTCAAGAGTTTGAGGTTGGAATGAGCTGTGACAGCATGGCACTCTACTGAGGGCAACAGTGATACTCTGTCTCAAAACAAACAAAAAAGAAAAGAGAGAAAAGAAGCAGCAGTGTGTAGGTCATCTGTACTTTCCTAACAGCATTGCAACTACCTAGCATTATCTGTCATTCTCTAGCCATCCTGGTCAGGGGGAACAAGGCTCTCTGTGTATAAGAACTTTGAGTTCCAGGCAGTACCTGTGGCTCAGTGAGTAGGGCACCAGCCCCATATAACAAGGGTGGTGGGTTCAAACCCTGCCCCAGCCAAACTGCAACAACAA